GGAGGGGGTGAGGGTGTCTGTGTATGGAGATAGATGGTTGTGTGAGGTGGTGGAGAGTGGCTGGTTGGAGAGGTGTGTGTGTGGAGATAGATGGTTGTGCATGGGGGTGGATGGAGGAAAAAGGATGGGGGAAGGGCTGGCTGGAGGGGGAGGAGATGGTGGGGGGTGGAGGGAGGAGGGGGAGGTGGACTGGTGGTGTGATAGGATGGATGGGGGAGAATGGGTGAGTGGGTGGATGGGGGCAGGGGATGGCTGGTGGGGGAGGAACTGGATGGTGGGTGGGATGGAGGGAGCCCCCCTCCCCCCCTCCAAATGGCTGAGACTGGCCATTCTTCTGCACCAGTTCCAGGTGGCTCAGCTCCGGGAGACAGGTGGGGCCCCACAGGTGGTGGGAAGCAGAGACTGACCAGAGCCGAAGGGGCACTGGGGTCCGGCCAGCAGGCAGAGAGGAGCTGGTGGGAGGAGCCAGGGGGCAGAGAGGGGCAGCGGGTGGGGCCAGGGGGTGGAGAGGAGCTGGTGGGAGGAGCCAAGGGGCAGAGAGGAGCGGGGGTGGGGCCAGGGGGCGGAGAGGAGCTGGTGGGAGGAGCCAAGGGGCAGAGAGGAGCAGGGGCTGGGGCCAGGGGGTGGAGAGGAGCCCTTGGCTGGCTGGGGGGGCTGGCCAAGAGGAGCAAGCGGTGGGGGGAGGGGGGCAGCGGGGTCTCGGGGCGCAGTGCAAGGGGAACAGGCCGGGGCCCCTTCTGAGCATGGGCCCGGCTCCATTGGTGCCATGGTAAACCCGGCACTGAGTGAGGGGCACCGGCTGAGCTGTAGGGATTGGGGGGAGCCCAGCACTGGGCTAGCAGGGGGCTGCGGGTCGGGAGTGAGGGGCACTCAGGACGCGGGGAACTGCTGGGCTCAGGCACTTTGTGGCCAAGAGGATCATTTTGCAGAGGATGGGGGAGGGGGAGAGGCCAGCATGTGGGGGTGGAGGGGGGACGAGAAGCTGGCAGCCAATGGCCACTCAGTGGGGGCCTAACAATGGGAACCCCCCACAGCACGGACACAGACTGCCCTTTGCCCCAGCCCCTCGCCCCCCAGGACACCTAGGTTCTGTCCCCAGCTCAGGGAAGGGAGTGGGGTCTAGTGTGGTGGGGGAGGCCTGGGGGGAGCCAGGACTCTTGGGTTCTATTATTAGTTGTTTGCACCCGTTTCTATGTGCACAGATACCGTATCCCAGCCCTGCCCCCCCCCCCCCGGTCTGGTGCCCCTCAATCCCGACCCGCAGCCCCCTGCTATCCCACCTCCTACTTGAGGGTCTCTCTCATTTCCCTGGCCTGCCCTGGTTTGTTACCCTCCCTTCCACCCCATGTTTCAGCCAGCCTGGGGGCTGCCCCCCAACCCATGCCTGGAGCTGGGGCCCCACGCAGCCCAGCACTGGGGTCATGATTCAAATCCAGAGTCCATCAGTCTGGAGAGGACGGATTGTCTGTGCGGGAGGGGGTGCAGCGAGCTGGAGTTTGCGGGACCCTGGGGGGAGGGGCTGAGATGGGGGGGTCAGCATGGGCTGCAGCCAGGAAAACACACCCAGCAGGGCTTGTCCCCTCCCCGAGGAGGGGGCAACTCCAGTCCTTTCAGGCTCTTCCTGGCTTTCATATCCTGTGGGAGGGAGTTCCACAGGTTAATCGGGTTTAAAAGAAAATGTGCCCCAATGACAAGTCTTTTCCAGTGGATTCAGGCCGGTCTAGGTAGTCAACAGACACCAGCCTCCACGGCAGGCGCCGGAGGGAGGGGTTGGATTGGCAAGAAAAGTTCCAGAAACACGTTATTGAAAATATAAATCGCTGTTACGCACAAAATAGATCAACACCTATAACAGTTTATGCTTATGCTCCAATACATCTGTTAGTCTTAAAGGTGCCACAGGACTCTCTGTTACCTGTAACAGTGGCACCTTCTGCCAAAACACCCGCTGTCAATCTCCCGTCCTTCCTTTCACCACCCCGCCCCCAGTCAGCCAAACCAGGCATCTTCAACCGTGTAACAAGTGGGGGGTGGATGGATCGATGGGGATGGAAGGATGGATGGAGAGAAGGATGGAGATGGAGATGGATCAAAGGAAGGATGGAGGGATGGATGGAAGGATGAATGTGGATGGATGGAAGGATAGAGGGCTGTGTATGAGGATGGATGGATGTGAACAGAGATGGATGGATGGAGGGAAGGAAGGAAGGAAGGAAGGAAGGATGGATGGATGGAAAGATAGAGGGCTGTGTATGGGGATGGATGGATGGATGTGGATGGAGATGGATGGATGGATGGAAGCAGGGAGGAAGGAAGGATGGATGGATGGAAAGATAGAGGGCTGTGTATGGTGATGGATGGATGGATGTGGATGGAGATGGATGGAGGGAGGGAGGAAGGAAGGAAGGAAGGATGGAAGGATGAATTTTTGATGGATGGATGGAAGGATAGAGGGCTGTGTATGGGGATGGATGTGGATGGAGATGGATGAATGGATGGAAGGATGGATGGATGGAGGGAGGAAGAAAGGAAGGATGAATGTGGATGGATGGATGGATGGATGGATGGATGGATGGATGGAAGGAAGGATAGAGGGCTGTGTATGGGGATGGATGGATGTGGACGGAGATGGATGGATGGATGGAAGGATAGGTGGACCAAGGGGTGTGGATGGGGTTGGGGGATGCAGGCACAGACAGACGTAATTCTCTCTCTCTCCAGAGATCTAATCAGAGCCATGTATAACCTGAGATAATTTGCAAAAACAGGAAGTCCCACCCTCTCCCCAAGCACACCAAGAAAGACAGGAAGTCCCGCCCCCTCCTGGCCAGTCGCTTTCTCCCAGCAGAAGCATGTGGACCCCTCCTAGACCCATAGTCAGTGCTGGGGAAGTTGGGGGGCCAGCACAGGGCCAGGGGACACTCAGGGGGGCTCCACAGAGCCTCGTCCTATACAGGCTCAGTCCATTCTATCGATGCCTCCCGGTCACCTGGGTTCATTGCTGGCACTCAGTCCCCTATAAGGCTCTCCCGGATGCCTGGCTCCCACGCTGGCTCTCCCATGCCAGTCACACTCGCGTGGCACTGCGCGCTGTCCTGGGGCCCTGCCAACTGGCCAGAGATGGGAGCCCGGGGCCCCTGCCGTCTCCAGGACGCCCAGGCTGGGAAAAGGAAGGTGAATGAGAGACGTACAGCCGGGGGGCAGGGTGGGGGCTCTCCCCTGGCAGTCAGGGCTATGGGGAGCAGCAGGGGGCGCTGTGTTGCGGGGGGGGCACTTACCCAGGGGGCGGGGGGTCCGTGGATGCGCAGATGCTCCTCGTAGCTGATGGAGGACACGTCGCCATCCCCCCAGGAGCAGCGCGAAGACGCCTGGGAGGGGTGGGCCGGGGGCTCGACGGGGTCAGATTCTCTCCCGTTCGGGAACTGGAACAGAGCGACGCGTCGTCAGCGTCCCGCTTCAGGATGGGGAAACTGAGGCATGGGCCAGTCATCCTCAGCAGAACCCAGTGCTAGGCCCCGCCCCCATCTGGCCCCGCCCCCTCGCACTCACCTGACGGGGAAGGTAATGGTGGCGGGTCCCGGGCGGGGTCAGGGGCATCTTCTCCCTCTTTCCTAGGATGGAGAAAAGGAACCCAATTGGCTGGTGCCAGGAGCACCCAATTCTCATTGGCTGGTGGTAAGACCACTGACTTATTCCCTTGCTTCTCATTGGCTGGTGCCAGGGCACCCCCCCCCCTCCCCCTCTCCCTGTACCTTCCCTCCAGCCACCCCCCCCCCGCTCCCCCCCCCGAATCCCAATTTGATAATACCAGAGCCAGTGCGTTTGGATTGGTTAATGGCAGCATGAACCTTTGGTGCTCACTGGCCAAT